TACTAAAGTTGTACTACAAAGTCGCCAGTGCTCGCCTGCATTTCGCGCGCTCGACACGCACGATCTCCGCAGAGGGTTGCGCGGGCACCGGACAAATCGCACTCTCACCTGCATTTCGCGCACTCGACACGCACGATCTCCGCAGAGGGTTGCACGCGCATGGAACACATCGCACTCTCGCCTGCATTTCGCGCACTCGACACGCACGATCTCCGCAGAGGGTTGCGCGCGCATGGGACAAATCGCACTCTCGCCTGCATTTCGCACACTCGACACGCACGATCTTTGCAGAGGGTTGCGCGTCAAGTCTCCAAAACGAGCGTTTCGTACGAGACTTCCTCAAAAACTCACACGTCAAAGTCTGCAAAACGAGCGTTTCGTACGAGACTTCCTCCAAAAGTCAAGCGGAAACACCCATCGGAGCACACACATCACGCAGCCCTGCCAAGCAGTTTCGCGATTCCAGCCCCTCCAAACAACATCCGCTCACACGCCAATCCCAATGTGACAGCGACATTCACCTCTACCACAACTCACAACCTCACGATTCCCTGCGCCTGCCACGAATCTTTCCCCATCCACACGTCTAACGCGCACAAAGTACTACGCCTGCCACGAAATGTCACCTCCCTCACACCTCGCAACCTCACGATTCCCTGCGCCTGCCACGAGAATCGCACTTCCACGCTTCAAAGCCCGCACGAAGTCCTGCGCCTGCCACGAAAAGTGACAATATCATACAATATCATCGCATGTGAGCTTCAACAAAGTTTGCACCACACCACACGTTTGGAATGATTTCGACCCGTTCAGAGCACACTCCCATCCACCAAAATCGCCACTTCAGCTGGGACTTGTCACGAAAACCGAGCTTCGATGCCACACCCTGAAACGCAAATCCCAATGGCACGGCCACATCCAACACCCCAAAAACGCGACTCTCCAAACGCTAATCCTAATGGCACTGCGCAGCAAACTGCGGATCTCACAAAACGCTGCGCCTGTGCAGCGAAATGCATCACGTTTCTTGCGCGACATGTCGGTGTCATGCAAATCACAATGGAATTGCGGCGCAAACTGACACGTGACACATCCATGAAAAGTCACTTGCAAAAGCTTACCCCAATGGCAGCAAATTTGAGACGCGACGACGACGACAAACGACGAGAGACGACGACACGACGCAAGCCATGCAAACACAACTCCAACCCCCAGACCCCCAACTATAAACGGGAATCCTTCGCTACGCATTCGGGAATAAAGGATCTCCACATCTTTTGGACCACCGGCCGCCAGACCAAGACCTGGCACGCGTGGTTGACCCCCAACCCAGGTGTCAGATCCATCCTCACCACTGAAAAAAAAAATACCTGAAGACACCTTCGATACAAAAAAAAGCGCTCAAAAGAAAAAGCGCTACTAATCCATGAAAAGCGCTCAAAACCTGAAAAAACGCTCATGACAAAAAAAGTGTACATATCTTGTTTCAATCTGTTGTTTCAACCTATTCCTTCTCACAACCCACCCCTCCGAGCGCACGAACACACACACAGACACTACAACCGCGGTGGACAAGACAGCCCTGCAGCCTTTTCTTGCCAAGCCCTCAGCGGAAGTCAAAGTGGTCACGCCACTGCCGAAGGTAAGTGATAAGACACGTCTGTATCGTTCGAACGGGAGCAGTTCTGGCATGTTGTCGCCTTGAGGTGCGTGCCACCTTGCCTATGAAGTCCTCATCCCCCCATGTCATCCAGACACAAGGATTGAGTGAATATCCAGCGGATTGAAGCTGGTGAGACATCGTCAGCCTGAGAAGTAGACATATACATCTAACATATCTTACAAAGACCTGAGAGTAATTGCAACCACGTGGCACGACATGCCCATGCATGTGGCACTTAGGCCGGAGACGGAACAAGGTCAACGATTGCGCTGCCGACATACTGGCCAGGGCCCCATAGGCTTCCTGACAACAATCAGTTCCATGCTCATGGAACCTAGGAAAGGCCTCTTCCACAGGAAAAGCATATGATTGAGGCAAGACTCCAACATAGTCCAGCCAGCACGCACTGCAGCTTCAGAAGTTTCTTTATTCAAGAAGAGGCCATATAGAATCCGCCAGAAGTTGCAGCTAGCTCGGTTCATGGTTTTCACGACCGTGAGAATTTCAGCCATGCCAGCTTCCTCAGGAAAGACCACTTTAAATCGATCTGGGGATTCACATGTTTATGTGTATTTGTAACAGTACAAGCCAAATGTCCAATGAATCCGTCGATGCCGAGGCCAATTCAGTTTCAAGCCATGAGCCCAGAACACCCGTGTCGTGACCTTTACCACCTCCTCGGGGATATCGGCTGGTCCTCAGTTTGGATGTTTTCTTATTTGAGGCCTTTCATTCATGTTGATACATCTAAGTTCCTCCAAGAAACCCTGAAATTTTGAATTCCTTGTTGGAAAAGCTGGTGATGGAGGTATGCTTCTTCTGTGCTTTGCACCAGATCGCAAACCTTTCGAAGGCTCGGTCAAACTTGACCTGGATGTTGCCACGGTGGCCAAAATGCCCACAATTTACTAACATCAGCAGGATGCTAGCAGTCTCATCCTTGCCATATCCAATGGCGTATGTGTGCGTGGGGTCTGTACGTAATCGATCAGGAAGCGAGCCCCCAGGAAGCTCAAAAAGTGGAAGGTGATCACTGTCCTTATACGGAGATGGATTCTCAAAACCTGGCTCCAAGCTTCTAAGAGGACCTGTCGAGGAAAAGTTCCACCATTCCTTGGTTGTATGCATAAAAGTACTGCGTGCGTGCGTGAATTCCAGATGTGAACCTTAACAAAGGGGGAAATTAATGCTATATACCATTGCAAGGATCCTCCACAGCGCAAAGGTGACATTTTCTAGGTAAGGTGGCTTGGAAACCACTCTTCAATTTGGCCACCTTTCTGATATAGGGCCAGTCACCCTTCAGGCCCACGTATATGGGCCTGAATTTCACGGTCGAGCCATCAGCTTTCATCACCTGGGCCAGCGACATGGGACCCACTAAATTTTTTGGGGAGAGATGTAAGTAGACGCATGATGCATCTAAAACACATAGCTTTGTTCTCAGCAAAGGTACTTGGAAGCCATGCTGGTAAAGGCTGTTGAAATCTGAATTCATGGCATCAACTAGGGTGTCAATTGTGGCATCATTCTTGGCGTACATTGACGATGGAATCGCACAATATAGGAGGCGGCTGGCATAGGTGACCCTGGCAGGGAAAACCTACTGGTTTGACATCCTTGTACAAGTCCCAATTTGTATGATTAACAAGATAGAAACCGGAAAACCTTGAGGGGGGCATGAGACATGCATTTCAACACGCCTGACCCTTTCAAATTGGTTTGACCCTCAAAGTTGGTAAGTTGGTGATGATAGGTTGGTAGCTGAAAATCATCACAGGGCGCTTATAGCGCCCCCTGCCCTCATCCCCATGAATAGCAACCGGTAGGCACTGTGCCCAAGTTGACTCATCGAAGTCGGAGTACAAAGGCAGGTCAGGGTCCAGTGGCTTGTAAGCCACCCACCAATCATGGAGAATCTCACAGAAGGCATCTACTTGCTCAATCCCCTTTCCTCCAAGAAAAAAATGACCGCCCAGGTCAAAGGAGGCCCTCATCCAAGACGACAACGGAAGAGTTGGAAACTCAACTTCTGTCTCCGTCACTTTTGACTTGGAGATGACACGGATGGGAATCGGGACCCAATCAATCTCCACTGGTAAAATTTTTTCCAGTGTTCTTGGCACACCGGTGGAATTTCCGACAAGAGTTCGATGCATTCTTCTTTGTGGCCATCATCGATAGCATCCGGCCACCCGCAATACCTGAGTCAGCACACCCGGCCTATATACAGTAGCGTTTTGTTTCATGCATGCTGCAAAATTTGTTAATCTAAAGCACCATGTTTTTGAAGCTTGTGATGAACAACTCCAGCCATATGAGTAGCCTTGCATGCCGGGATAGAACCTTGCTCCACTGCCTCCATAAATGCTCCGGCTATATCTTCATCTGAGCCTTGGCAAACGTAGACAGACTGCAAACATGTTTTCGTGTTGTCTGCTTCGGAGCATTCTTATCATCTAGATTTGTTCCAAACCGTGTCAGTTATTTAAGCGAGAAAC